GACTTGAGCTTTCTTGTTTGCCCTGATAACCTCTTCTTAACGTTGATTTTTTTTATGGGGAATACGTGTGAGCTTTTCTTTCTGAAATAAACATTAATAGAACTTCTAGATTCAAAAACACTCTTACCTCTTTTTTCATTTCATTAATTTCCTCCGCATATCTTCAATGCCATACCCTTTGACGAGATAGTTGAGAACTTTCTCGTTAAAAAAAACGTCCGAGCACTGAAAGTTAGAAATGAAAAAAGTCACAGAAAAATACTTACCTCAACGAACAACATCAGCCAACTGACAATAACAGCAACAGAAGCAGTTGAGGAAACCATTACAGTAGTGTCCATGGTAACCTGAAAATAAGACAGAATACTGAAACAATTGAAAAATTGTGGGTTGGAAACACATTAATATTGATCTGAACGGTGATAATTTCCGTAAACTTAAGGTAATATATTGAAACTAAAAGAAGAAAGGAACAGGGAAATCATTGGATTATTGGTCAAATCAGCAATTTCAGACATCAAAGCTGTTGATGGACCCCATGACTACTAGACTATTGTTTTTCGCTGCATCAAAATAACGAAAACAAAAAACAAACTACAAATGATAATTAACTATGACATAAAGCTCTTGTCTGCATCATTTAAACTTAATCAAATCATCATGATAACAAGTAAACTAACGTAATTTTGCGTACTTTTTGAGAAAAAATTCAGAAAATCCATAAATTGACAACAATCAAGCTCGTGATCGTCTGATTTCGCCAGTGTGGGTGTTGATATGAACAAATCAGTCGATATCAGAGTGTTATCTGTTTGTGATTCAATCATCATCTTGTTATTCTTTTGTGTTTCTTGAAAGTTTCTTCATATTTTTTAGATTACCTATTTAAAGTGCACTTGCACTTACATGACTTATACTTATAATTTAAAAACCCAAAAATGACTAAGTCCGTCAAAAGTTTTTGGACCATAACTTCTGTCTCTTNTTCATGTTTCTTTGCAGCGATTTCTAGCTTAGATATGATGAACTTATCTAGAATCTTCCTTTCTGTGGCTCTTTGCTTGGCATCTTGGATCTCTTCGGTAGAATCATCGGCGGCTGAACTAATTTCTTCGTCCAAAGGCATTCTGCAATCTTTTCCGAATAGAGCAAGGTATGGTGATATTCCGGTGGTTGAGCTACAGAGGTTATTCAAGGCAAAGATGATCTTGGGGAGAAAAAGGTCCCAATCTGTGAGATCTTCTTTAAGGTAATGCGTGAGGCATTCTTCTAGAGTGCGATGTAATCTTTCCACTTGTCCATTAGAGTTTTTCTGGTGCGGTAGAGTTGGTTCATGCTGGATACCAAGGGTTTTACACATTGTTTGAAACTTTCCGGACATGAAGTTAGATCCTCTGTCTGTAATGAGACGAGCAGGAGGTCCGAAAATGTAGATGAAATGTTTCAAAAATCGATCTAGAACAACTTCAGTTGTAATGATCGGAATGGCAATGGCTACNTTGAGCTACAGAGGTTATTCAATGCAAAGATGATCTTGGGAAGAAAAAGGTCCCAATCAGTGAGATCTTCTTTAAGGTAATGCGTGAGGCATTCTTCTAGAGTGCGATGTAATCGCTCCACTTGTCCATTAGAGTTTTTCTGGTGCGGTAGCGTTGGTTCATGCTGGATACCAAGGGTTTTACACATATTTTGAAACTTTCCGGACATGAAGTTAGATCCTCTGTCTGTAATGAGACGAGCAGGAGGTCCGAAAATGTAGATGAAGTGTTTCAAAAATCGATCTAGAACAACTTCAGTTGTAATGATCGGAATGGCAATGGCTACTGCGAATTTGGTGAATGCATCTTGAATGGTGAGA